GAAGAAGCAGATGTATTTACCAGCTCAGATAGTGATGATGCTGAAACTGACGAGTCAACAGAAATCGAGCAGGAAGGGGAATCCAAACTAACTATCAGTGAGTGGAGACATTTTCCCAGTTCTTTCACTATAAGTACTTCTAGAAGCCTGCCTATACTTCATTCATTAGTTTAATTACATACACTTTGATGGTGTACAATTAGCATTATTAATGTGGGAGGCATAGTAGTGTAACAAGTGGCATGTTGGACGTCATATATAGCTGTCTGACCACTTCCTGTAGCTTAAACCAGGTGTGCCCTGGTCGTATATGACTCTTATCTCAATACAGATGTATTTTACAGCTAGCATTTACATGAGCTATTCACAGAAATCAGCATACTAAACACACTGTGTAAAGAAATAAGTTTATTCTGACTGAACTAACATACACCTGTAATTTAATAATTTTTCATTGATAATGTATATAGATATCATACAAAAATCAATAGTCAAATTAATTAAGTTGCATTTTTATCAATTTCTTTTCCAGTTCTTCATCGTACAAGCGAAGCAGTAACAGAGGCAGAGCTCTGGTCTTGTTACTTTATCCGCAGAGTTTTCTGGGTGCTAAAGCTGGCAGCAAAACCTTGTGTGATTTCCCTGAAACAAATCTCACAACTTGCAAACATGTAAGGCAGCATCTGACTTACGCATGCTCTGTAAAAATGTACCTTTTTGCTTCTACTCAAGATTTGTCCTTGTTGGTGAGAATTCTTTTAAATACCTTCTTTTCTGTTCTCCAGCATTCTGGAATCATTGCCCAAAGTGGAAAAGACAGGAAATGAATATCTTGATGAGCTGTTATCTATGATTTACATGGTCATTCATACATACCAGGACAAGCACCAAGTACAGTGCTGGTCAGTATAGTAGATTATTAATTTTTTATGTATTTAGATTGAACACTTCTAGTTCAACAACATTGCTGTAGTTAGTATTTTTTACTCTGATGATTAAGCATTTGACTTTTTACTTAATGTAGGAAAACATATGGACCAGCCATTACTGCAGGACTTCGACAGGAAGGTAAGGTGGTTTTGTGTTGTGGTATTCGCTGTAGGGTAGACAAACTAATAGCCAAACATACCTAACCAAGATTGATATTATTCACTTTGATCTCAGTTAAAAATAATAAAGAAAAAAATTCTGAAACATCACATCAGGTTGTGGGAAAATATAATTGTTGCAATGTTGTCCATGGTGCTGTACAAAAAAAAAAGGAAGCTTGATATTCTGCAATTTGATCTGAAAAGATTTCCATGTCTTTTTGCAGATGGTTCAGGAATTAGTTCAACAGATGAATCACCAAGTTCTGGTGACAATGCAATGTATTCCATCCCTGAAGAAGTGGAAGAAACAGGAGAAACACCGGCTTGTTCACTGATGCCCTTGAATTCAGATGATGAAAGTGACATTGAAGTTCTTGTGGGTCAATCTGCAGAGTGCTTACTGCAAAGTGCGATGAGATGGGAAGATGATGTTAGTGACAATGCTTTCTTTTTGAGAACAAAGGAAGCAGGCAGTGATCGAAGCATAAATAAATCTGTGGGAAGGTGGGAGTCTGAAGGAGGAGCTTGTGGAGAAGAGCCAGCTTCGGAGAGCCTTGATGATTATGTGCTTCTAGATGGGTATGAGAGTGATGTAGAATCTGAGTCAAGTGGCTATGATGAGCTGCACTAGAGCCTCTAACAAGACACTTTGGTGGCAGTGGGATCTATGTTGAACTCTGCTTAAAAGATGAGCTGTCCTTGAGCCACACCCAACTTTGGTGTATGATTTGGACGCTACAGTGCAAATCAGAAAAAAAAAGTGCAAAGGGCAAGGGTAAACCAATCCTATTTTATGATGAACTGCAAACCCTGATGGTACGCATTAGATTGACCTGTAATGTGAATGGCTTTGGTGAAGTTAGCACATCAAAAATTATTAAAACAAAGTGTTCATGTTGCTTGGGTTCAGACAGTAAGTTACAGTCCCCAGTGTTAACTCTGACAAGCACAGCACTTCCGAACACTAAAGAACTAGGGTGTGGCTCATGACAATATCTGTGGTCTAAAGTAGGTTGTACGTAGATCACAGGATAAACTATGCTTGCTAAGAAATGAGAAGCTGCTTCTTGAAAGGAGTAATAGAATTAATGTTACATAGTTGCCTGGTAGCTTGGAAAAGGAATATTAAGGAGATTTTTTTTATCGATTTCAAGATAATTGTTTTTCAGCATCACATGCAGTAAATTACTGAATTACAGAAGATAAGAGGTATTTTAAGTGTCTTAAAGGAGACTGAGATCATGTAGTTTCCTTAGATGATAAATGAAGAGTATCCAGAAGATCTACAACCACATGTACGAGCCCCTAAATTCTCGCATGTAACATTTTGAAGAAATAGATTGTAATAAATAGGGGGAATTAATATGCAAGTCTTGAGACTTTAAGGGTTACAACTGATCTACAATTGTACATAAGACACATTATTTAACTATTTTTTTATTACATGGAAAGTTTTAACTTATTCAAATGCAGAGAGTCCATCATTAACCAGCTGTGGGTATGGCCGACATGTAACTTGTTATCAATGAAAATTATGGCAAATGCATGCAGGCATGCAGTTTTAATCAAAGGAACAGAACATGTGTTCAACAAGGGTAATTACTAGAACATAAGATCTGATTACTATGGCAAAATTGTTTTGATATTTCCTTGTCTTTATCTGAACAAAATAAACCAAGACCAGTTAGGTAAGAAGAATCTGTATATGGACAATTCAGGACCTTATGCGCTTATACAAATGTACAGAACAAAATAATGAGCAGACTTATGGTTGTTGTGCAAGCAAGTGGTCACTGTAAAGTTTAAAGCGGTAAAACAGCTTGTAGAGGGTGCTTTTCATAGATATGTTGTTTGATCGCGAAATTGATTACAATTTTTCAACATGAATGGTCCATTCTGCTTGCAATCAAGTTCCATTAACTAGCTTTAAGAGAACATTTATTGAAACCAGTAAGGAGAATTTTTTATGTTGGCATCTTGTACGGTGTTTGTAGATAGTATTGCTGGGTAAAACGGTTGTACAGAGATTTTTGAATTGGATGAAACACAGAGGAGCGGTTTAGTTTGGACTTGTACAAATTTATTTTTATTATGGTATTTTAGTGTAATGTTATATTGTAAAAGACTATAATTACTTGAATTTCAATTTTCACGTGCAGCAATTTAATATTGCCTTGAAAATTAATTATAGTATCACTTAATATTAATTTACTAGTTTATTTTATACATAGTAAATTAAATATCAAAAGCTAGTATTTTCATGTGATGTCCATGAACAGGTATGTTTGTCAAATTGTGTTTTATAGACAATAAAAGAGATAATAATTTGAATCAACTGTGGAAGAGGTATATGTGTTGAAAGACGCGTCTTACCCCGATACAAGCCATAAATATAAGAATCTTTTCTGAAATTAGGCTGTAAAGTTTCCCCTTTTGGGCCCCTTTTTGGTTTGAAACACTCTACAATAAACTACTGGAGGAAGATGTTTATTTCCTCTTACTAGAAACGGACGACATTTTGCTCGCGAGGGCTTATTATGCAACCGTGATTTGGATTCAAATGTGTCGGATGTCCCAGAGGGACCCATAATCCCTCTGTGAGTGTGGTGCTAAAAAGGTACCGATTGCCACGCAGATATGAATAACCCGCAGGCTGCTGCTCTCCCATAGGGGAATGTTGCCTTAATACTCCTTCCAAACCTACAATCCCAGGTGCGAAAACTCAAAATCTAAGTGTTTAGCTTAGGTAATTCAGATTATTCCGCTGATAGGTGGGAGCTTCGGGAGTTCTGGGGTTTTCAGTAACTTTGAGGCCACCCAGGTCAGCTTTTGAGGTTTGAGATTCGCGCCCTTTTTGACCGGAAGTTTAGGTGACCAGTCAGACGCGAAACGTGAGGGTCGCTGAAGGTGATTTCCGGTCACATGCGCAAACATGATGTCACAATCGCCAGAATCAATGACGAGCAAAAAATTTTTTTTGTTAACAAAACTGGCAGTAGCTCTAGCAGAATATTTCTGAGAGATGGAAGATACTCAAGACTTGAACCTTACTTTTTCCGGCTGTGGATTCTTGGGAATGTACCATATCGGAGTGATGTCTTGCCTCAAACAAAACGCCGCCGGCTTTTTGAGAAGGGTGAAATGTTTCGGCGGAGCGAGCGCAGGTGCCTTTGCCGCTGTAGGTCTTATCGTTGACTTGGACATTAGCGAGGTCGCCGAGTCAGTTATAAGACTCGGAAAGAGAGCAAAGTCTCTTTCATTAGGACCACTTCATCCGAGTTTTGAGATAGTCAGAACTATTCGGAGAGCTTTTGAAAAAATGCTACCAGAAAACGCACATGAACTTGCCAGCGGCAGATTGCACATTTCATTGACCCATGTCCCAGATTGTCAAAATGTCATTATATCCGAATTCTACTCCAAAGAAGATCTTATTGAGGTAAGCTACGTTTGATTTTCTTTTAATAAGAACAAAATCCAATCTGTGATTCTATCAACCTGTTACAACGAGTTTGTCGTAAACTTATAAGCTTTTTCTAGTAAACTTATTTATTTTTGATACTCATATTGACCACACAGATAAATCGCACAAATGCACATGTAGTTTTTTTTTAATGGGGCTTGTTAAGTTTCCAGGGGGACTTTCTTATTGTGCAGGAACGCAGACAAGCTTACAAACAAGCATTCATAGGTCTCCATTCCTTTCGAAGTTTCTTTTGGCTAACAAATTCTTTTTTAAGGAGGCTGTTAATGACTTATGGTTTGTATTTGCTGTATTTACATAACGACAATTTGTTGATCAATTATTCATCACTTTGCGGCTTGTCAAGCTAAGCCAAGCCAAGAGTCTAGTAAAGGTCAGTAAATAGCGCGCTTTCGTGGGAGGTTTAGGGGAGGGGCAGTTCTTTGCCATAGCATTTTTGTTATCTTGTTATTAATTACATCAATTGATGTTCACAGTTTTTCAGTCCATAAATAACGCATTAATTTCCCTTATGTGCAGGCATTAGTAGCAAGTTCTTATGTGCCATTGTATTCAGGAATCTTTCCAGCAGTGTTCAGGGGAAAGGTAATTTTTCAACACCTTCTCAGTTAACAGTTTTCCTGGTCTTGTTTTTGCAAGTTACTAGTCCAGCTATTTGCCAGGCAATCACCGACAAGAATATTTTGTTATTATTATTACCATTGTTCTTGATTAATTTTTAACTGACTTACATACAAAAAAGGGGCTGCTCCCCCCCTCAAGGTTTTGAAAGCACTAGGTAACTTAAGTTCTCACAAACATCATGTTACACATAGAGATGCCAATACCACCTTAAAAAATTCAACACCCAGAGATCACCAATAATTTTGCATGAAAATCAATCAAAATGAGTGTAGAAATACATACTTAAAGCTCTTTCCTTCATACCGGTATTCAGTAAATTTTTTTCTTCTCACTATCAAAATGTCTTTTTTTTTTTCACTTTCACAGTACTACATAGATGGAGGGATCTCTGATAATCTTCCTCAGCACTTCAAGGAAGGAGAGACCATCACAGTGTCACCATTCTGTGGTGAACATGACATTTGTCCAAAGGATGTTTCATCGAATGACGCTCATATTGAACTATGCAACACCAGCATGCAAATCACCAGCAATAACTTGGAGAGATTGACATATGCATTGTTTCCTCCTGATGAAATAGTGTTGAGCAATATATGTCGGCAGGGGTACAGGGACACACTGAGATTTCTAAAGGAGCACTGTAAGTTTTTATCAGCTAGTTGGCAAAGTTTTATGCCAGTTTATCATTGGCTTAATCTCTTACAAATATATCAGTGTCATTACATTTGATCAAAAGGCATTGTTAAAGTTTTTTTTGAGATGCTTGGCAAATACATAAAGATTATCATGTTCATTTTATAAGTATTTAGGGGAATCTGGATCAAACAGTCTGAGTTCAGGCTTTTTTTTTCTTACGCAAGACAAAGTCTAAATGGGTACTTCAGAAAATGATTAGCACAAGGTGATCTCCTTATATACCAGACACTGGACCACTTTGGCTCAGATACAACATTTGAGATGACAGTTTTATACAATAAGAATCTGTAGATTCAACCGATCTTTTTTTTCCAGATCCTAATAGGCTAACAAAGGAGGCAGTGAGAACTGCCTCCGTGGCCTTGAATCTTCCACCATGCGACAATAATTTGTCTGCTTCTTGTCAAGAAACAAGCTTCAGTCGTCGAACTAGCTGCAGTTCACAAATATCGTCAAACTGCTTCTCCTGTAGCTATAGTGACATTGAAGTTTATTCAGGATCAGAGAGTGAAACAGAGACTGATGAGGAGGAAGGGGAATCACAACTTTCCATGAGTGAGTGGCAATAATCATTTTTTTTTAAAGAACAACAACCACAACAACAACAACAACAGAGTCTGAATTCAGCTAGAATGTAGATAGAGGTGCTGTAATGGTGCTACATTTTATTTACAAGTATAACTCTGACTATAAATTTTATTGGTAAATAAGAGCTGGGTACTGATTTAATTATCTATTACATTGAAATTTACCACTGATGAAGGCTGAGAATTTTGAAAGAGGAATTTTGGAGAACTTTGAGGTCCTTTCCTTGAATAGTATCATATAGAACCCAACTATTGTAAGGAAAGTTTCTCTTGTTTTAACTCTTAAGTACAATTCCCTGCTAGTAAATATATAAATTTGAAAATAAAACAGTATAATATATTTATTTCATATTGTTGGTATGGTGGTACAGTGTGCCATCATGATTGACAATGTAACTGCATTGTGTTGATGATGTGTAGGCACATCACCTTATGTCAAATTATTTAGCTTTTGAGGTCACTCTATCTGTTACAGTATTTGCATTGTATTAATTCATTAGGTCTCTTGTTTCTTTTAAACCTGCAGTACTGGTCCGTGCCAATGAAGCTGCCACAGAACGAGAGCTTTGGTCGTGCTTTTTACTTCGCAGATCATTTTTTGTCTTGGATGTCTTTACAAAGCCATGTGTCATTACTATCAGACAAGTCTTGGTCATGCTCAAAATGTGAGTTTAATCTTATTTTACCTCTTACATTTCCAAGAATAACAAATTATACATTATTATCAATGCCTTTAGTACTGCATACAGAGAACAAAATAATAAATATTATGAAGTACTATTAGTTGGATTAATAATGTACAACCCATTTCAAATACATGTAAAAACAATAATATTATATTAAAGCAGAGGATACAACAAGGTTAACTAGATAGCAAAAGATGTTAACCAAGCCTGCAAATAACAGTCGGTCATCGGCCAATTGTCCAGTAAATTTGAGGTTTTGACAGGTAAAAGCTTAGCCTGGTCGGACACTCTGACCAGGCATTTCTGCTAAAATGAAAAATATTTTAACTGGAAATTTGTGGCTGAATATGGGATAAGTTATTTTTTTATACTGCCACACAATACTACGTAAAAAAGCTTTGTTATTGGTTTTGTTTTTTATTACAATTCTAAGAATTTTTATCACGCGCAGTGCGTCGTCTCTCTGGCCCTATACCCACATAGGGTTATGGTTGAAGAAGAAGAAGTGCGTCATATCAAATGTTATAATTATGTCGAATTGTAAACACATCACATCAGCGCCACTATCCCTACATGTTAATTTACGCATTTTGCGGTGGCGCTGTGAAAGATCGTGAAGCCCCATTTAGTCTGAATTACGTTCATCTGAAAAACTACGAAAAACTGAGGTCTTATGTAGTTACTCGTTGTTTGTTGCTACCAAGTGTTGTGGAATTAATTTTCAGTCGTAATGCATTGACCCGATTATAATGGTATGGAAATTGAATACACAGCCCAAATACTCATGTTTCGTTTATCTGAATGCAACCGCTTTCAAAAACTTTAAAACCTCTAAAACATAACCAAATGTTTTTCTGGTCCGTATGATCAAAAATCAGTTTAATTTTTAACTCTTATAGGTTTTTTTTACGTCTGTCAGTGTGGTTGAAATATAGTTTCCGTACCACAGAAATGTTTTTGTGAAAAGTGTGAACGTACAGATTAGTCACGCTTTATAGTCACAACCACCTCCAATTCCACGTTTTAAATAATTACGCAAATTTTTTATTCAATTGACTCCAAAAACATCTGGAGGAAACTTGCTTTCAGGAAAAGTGTAAGAATTCATTTCAGCCAATTTTCAAGTCTCTGAATGTCCACGCGGGAGATTGTTTCATCCCTTTTCCTGTTTTCCTCGTTACGTTGGAAACGCTTGTGTGACTAGGGGTATAAACGTTTGTAAATTTGTCAATTTTCAACAGGTAAAATAATACCAGAGGTAATGTAAAGGTCCCCTTGCAGGTGCTAGTAGCGATTTTACACTCAGTTGACTTATAAGCTTTTCGAATTTACAACCAATATTTTGGCGAAGAGTCTACACTGAAATACCAAAATGTCTTAAATGTCTCTTTTTAATTTCTAATGAGAAAAAAAATTTTTTTGTCTGACCAGACTGGCTTTTTGTGAGGTCAAAACATGGCCTTGTCCTGACAAATGACCTGCCCACAGATAAAAATTATTTGCAGGCTTGTTAACAGTTACAGAATTATGCTTACATACATGTATACAATTTTTCAATGTACCATGCTTTTTTGGCCTTTTTCTCTCTGTTTTTTTGTGACCATTGAGGAGACAGGAAACCCTTTACACAGACTATGGTAATGAGATTTGGTTGGAGTATAGACTTTTTTGAAATCCGTTTTGGCTTTGAGGTCTAGTCACTCTGAAATGATTTGAGACAAGTTTATGTTACATAACATTTGAGCACAATTTTGTGTAAATATTGCTTTTCAGATTTTTGAAATCACTGACCAAGTTAGAAAAGACAGGAAACTGGTATTTTGATGAGCTGCTGTCAGTCCTCACCACAATGTTCCACACCTATGAAGATAAGCACCGAGTATTGGTAAGACAAGGGTATGTCAAACTTTTCTCCTTTAATTGCCAAATTGATCATCATTATTATAGTGTCTCCAGATCAAGTGTACTAAAGGCACCTACAGTCAAGTGTCGATAGATACCCTTGATCGACCCTCAATCAACATCTTGATCAACACTTGATTGACATCTCAGTGGACATCTCTGTCGACAGTCAGTTGAGAGTCAGGCAATTTGCCATTGAGTGTGGATTGATACATATGAGTTGGATGACACTCTGCTAACCATCAAACAACTGTTGCTTGAGTGTTGATCAACATGATGATCAAGTGTCAACCGAGTATCAATCGAGTTGTCGATCAAGTGTCGATTGAGATGTCGATGGAGTCTCGATCAAGAGTCAATCGAGGGTATCAATTGTCCCTTGAATGTGGATGCCATGATCCGTTTCTCCAAGCCTAATCAATACATATAATCAAGAAAGTTAATGAGAATTAAGATATTAAAAACTGATAAACTTCTGGATCCTGTCTTGGACAATCACCAAATAGTCCAAACTAGTTGTGTTAAAGAAACAGAGACAAAGGTTGGAGTTGAAAATGCCAAGAACTGAAAAATTTAAACAGGCAAGCTCTTTTAGGATTTTTTTTTCTGAGAAAGAAATATTGTTAGCCAAAAATAGCTATTAAAAACCATACACTTTCTTTTAACCAAATATTAATTAATCAACCACTGGAAAAATGATGCCTTATTTGAGTTACATCTTATATACATAATAATTGGTTAGCATATAATTATATTTAAATTTAAACTTGGCTTCTTTTACTAGGAAATCTGAATTACCAATCACAGATCTTTCAAGAGGAGGTCAGACATAATTTACAAAGTAATTTAGACTACAACTCGTGCACTCATTGTAAATTTAAGTTGATCGTGCTGTGAAATGCTGTCATTACCATTGTGTCTTATAGCAAACTGATGTACCCATGATGACTGAATTCATTAGCACAGTCACCTTTATTTATTGGTGAACAAACCACTCAAGGAACCACCTGCATGGGGGTGCATTGGGGGTGGGTTAAACGAGGAAGGAAAGTTAATTAAAAATGTGTGGAGTCAAAGTATACATATGGACAGGGACCCAAAGTAGAGAAAAACTATAATAATATTCTTACTAATATTTTTCTTAACAGCTCATGGATCATTGCTTACTTCATCTAAGTGGACACAAAAACTTAATGATAATTCTAGGAGTTTCAAAGCAAGGTGCTGTTGTACCTCAGAAGGTCTGTCTACTTTTACTTGTGAAGAGTACATAGTAGATGTCAGAAGTAATGCATGTAAGTTGGTCATGGATGCGGATGACAGCAGTGATGACAGCTTTCCTTTGAACACCAACGCTTTGCACAGGGAACTGCAAGAGTGCCTTGCGGAAACCATAAGCATGATGGAACATCATTTTGGTGACAGTTATACAGGAAAGGAATTCAACAATGAAAAGGATGAAAGCAAAAGTAATTCATGTGGTGCAGTTAGGGCTGTGGGTGAGTCATGGTGCTAAGTGTCTGGCTGTTGATGACTGTGATGCGTATGTGATTCTTGAAGGATTTGAGTGACACTTATGACTTTGTCTAAAAACGTTATCATTACTATATTTAAAAGGAATCCATATTTATTGCGCTTAAAGTGCATTTTTTCCTTGAATTCTTCAAGTAAAGTACATGTACTTTACCTATAAAACTTGAAGTTGAAGAAAGGTCCTGGATTACCCTTAAAAAATTATGTATAAATTTAATGTGGATAATTTGGTACCTCAATTGTAAGAACTTACTTGTTATACTGGTAAAGGTACATGTAACTTACATAGATGACAAGTAAATAAGACGGTCATCAAAATGGATGAAATTGAATACCTATATCAGAGATACTTTGTCATAATTAATTCCAGTTTTCTATCATTTGTTCATTTTTGTTCTCTGAGGAGTCAGTTCAATTCTTTTGATACTTCACTGTTAAATAATACTATTACTATTATTTTCCCAAATTATTGAATACAATAACAAAGTGTTAATAGTATTTATTACTGATGAATGGATCCAAAGCACAAAATGTAAAATTATGTGCATGCCTTTGTTTCAGCCGATCTGCATATCTTTGTTCCATATTTAATTTGCAATAACAGTTACTATGTAATGAATGCAGTTTCAAAGTTCTCTTTACAAATGATGAAATTATTTGTGTTTACAGGTTTAGTATACAGTAAATATTGCAAAATTATACTGAATTTTACAAAGCATGAACCTAAACTAAATAATCATCTTGATGAAAGAAACTTCACAAATCTTGGTAATGTGGTGTTATCATGAGGTTTTCTGTAAACATTAATAAATGTGAACTATTTATGACCCTAGGAATCCCCTAGGCTTAATCAGAATCTAATTTCTGCTAAGTTATGCTTCAGCCAAATGTGATCTCACAAGGCAGTGCGCAGTTCATCAACTAGCGTTGTAAGATATTTCTAAGGAGGCCAGCACATGTAAGGCGTAAAGTATTTCTAAATTCAGTTCTGTCATATTTTGATTAAAAAACTTCATAATTTAATTTTCTATGGTATGTGTTATAGGTCAAATGACAATTAATGACATTAATGGTTGAATGCCCAGTGGTATGTCATTTGTGACTGTCTGAATAAATCTTGGGATTGTTTCGAAAACAGTGTGGTTTGAGTGAATGTTATTTTTTTTTAACTTCATCCTTTTTTGATATGGTAAAACAAAATACTGCAACACCCAAATCATTTTGCGGAGGTCTGGGAACAAGAATGGCTTACCTTGACATCATGACGATATAGCCAGTTGCAAGCACTACATGTATAGCAATGGCAAGCATATTGTTAGAAAAGGTAAACACTGATGATATATCATTTTCAGGTGGTTTTTTATAGCTGCTCTGTTCTCAAAGATTTTGTCAGGGTCCTGTTTCTCGCATAAATTTTAAAAAAATTTGTGTCTCATATACTTTTTCTAAAAGATGTATTCATAACTTCTCAAATCAAAGTTGTCTTTTCTCACACCATGCACTAATAGGCCCTTTGCAGCTAAGGCATCATGGGACCTACTTTTCATAAAATTATGTGCTATAACTTAACGAACAGCAAAAATGGAAAAAGCATGTAAAAAAATATCAAAATGGCCAAGTTTGATGCCCCCATCATTAAAGAATGAGATTTTATGACAGTCTGAATTTTTAAAAAAATAACAAGATTTGTATGAAAAAAGTTGTTACAGAGGGGCTTTCCCTCCAGCAATATTTTGCGTACAAATCCTCTAAATTTTCCGAAAATTCAAACTATCATATAAACTTACTCTTTAATGCCAGGGGCCTCAAACTTGGCAGATTTTGTATTTTTGATATG